GAGCCCTGCCCAGGAGAGACATTCTCAGGTGAAACCTTTTTCTTGCCCCACTCCTGCTCAAGCCCTGTGGTTATAGGAATAAAGTCTGTGACCTCAAGAAGGCGGTGACTTGTTTTCTTAGGGATCTCTCAGGCAGTATTGTCATTAACTTCTCTGATTCGTGTGGCAGATGCGAAGGAAAGTGTGGTACCTCAGGACTATCCCAATATCTTCCTTCCAGAACTTTTGGTTTAGGCAGGGCTATGCAGGGCTTCACTCACAGGCCCTTTGACAAACCCACAGCTAAGCAGTAAAGTGACTAGAACCAGTTCACAACTGTGATGTCCCATGATAGCTGTCTTTCCTCCTGGACTCCTGTCAGGGTCCCCCTCTCCTCATGTGGAGACTTTGGTAGATGACTAAGAATTGTGAGGGCATTTGTGAATGACTAAGAATTAGAACTTTAGGGTCCCAACCATAGTGTCTGGATCTGGGGAGACCCTGACTATAGCCTCCCTATATTATACCTCCCCCTGATTATACCTCCTCTACTTCAACCCTCCTAAGCGGGATGACCTAAATTATAGACAACTTACCTCTATGCACAAGCAAAGAATCACTGAATCAGTAATGTAGTTTTATTTAAGGCAGATTTGAGGAAAAGCTATGCCCCTATACCCTCATCCTCATACAGCTCAGCCTTATCACAATTCAGGCACTGGAACTTGCTGAAAAGGCTGACAAGGGGCTGATAGGAGGGTCACAGGATTTAGACCTTAGAGCAACTTCTCTTTAGTTGCACTTAAATCTCAAGGATTTGGAGGCCTCTAGAGTTCATTTAAGGGAAACACAACTTTTCTGGTCCTCAGATGAAGAGCTGGGGGAAGGTACCCAGCATTTACCCTTTCATAAAGACCCTGGAGGTCTTCAGAAGAGACCAACCTTCCCAAGGTAGAGGGACAGCCCTTTAGGAGGGCTAGGAGAGGAATGACAACAATAGGGGAGGGGAGGTCTCTTGAGCGAGGTCTGGGCTGGCCCGACTGTGCCCTCACACAGGATATGGGTTGTCTAGGACAGCCACTCCTGCTGCCACACCACCATCTGCATGCTCAATGGCTTTGGTTCGCAGTAGATGCCCCACGTGCTTGTTCATCACGAGTGTCTTTCCTTGCCTACAGAAAGAGGGGCAGGAGACATACAATATTACCTGGACTCTGCTCTCAAACCCAGGACTTTCCCTGGTCCCAGCTGAGCAGTACATGGATAGCTAACTTCATCCAAGAAAGTGCTGGGATTTTAGAGTCAGAGTTGGGTTTACATCCTAGCTTACCAGCAGGAACCAGCAGGTAGCATAGTGGTTACAGAGCTGAACTCCCACATGGCCAACGATGGTTCAAGTCTTGGACCCAGAGGCTTGAAACATGCCAGGCACATATGCATGCACATCCCAAATCCCAGAAGGAAAATGGAGGAGAAGGAATTGTGGCATGGCCAGCTCCCCTGGGGGGTGATTTCTCATTTTCCCTCTCACTCTCTCTCTCTGGCGAGGGCACATGCCATATGGCAAAAAATAAATAAATAAATAAATAAATTATGGTCATAGCTATGAATTCCCTTCTTTACCTCTCCCTCAAGATGGCTGTGGTGATGGTGATGGTGATGGTGGTAGTGGTGGTGGTGGTGGTGGTGAGGGAATGGGTTGTGGGGAAGTGGCAGGCAAAAATGCTGCAAGTGGTCAGAGAAGGAGGTTGTACTGATAGAAAGGGCAGGCTCTGGTCGGGAGCATCATAGGATCTGGCATCCCTACTTTGTCCTGACCTTAAAGTGTTTTACAGGAAGAGGTGTGAGGGTCAGGAACCATTCCTTACAAATTCTAAGTTCTCTATTCCTGATTCTTAGTGTTGAAACCCAACCCAGGGCTCACTCAGCTTTTTAAAGCCACTGACCCTCTAACTGGCTCATCTTGCCTTTTTCAAAATCTCAGTTGCAAAACATTTCTATTTTGGCTTCCTCTAACAGCCCTGAGCTGGACAGGTCCTAGGCCCCACTTAGTAGATAAAGAAATAGGTAACAAAGCTAGAGGTTGACAGAGCATGGACTGAAGTCCAGGATTTCTGACTCTGCACTGTCCCCATGATTGTTTAGCTGGCACTCCTGCAGGGAGGAGTGGAAGGAACTCCTCTTGAATGACTCACCTGACATAGACCCCAAAGATGCCCAGTTCTGAGATGCACTGAACCACTCGGACAGGGCTGCCAGGCCGCAGCAAGCAGTTCCCAAAAGGTTCAGGTTCAATCTTCTCCATGAGGATGTAAGAGGCCCTTTCCTCACTGTCCTTTAGCCGTTCCAGGGCCTGCACCATTTCCTCTCCATACAGGTTGTTACCTGCAATTAAACTGTCCAGTCACCCTGGACCCTCTGCCCACCTCCTCCACCCCATGCCCTCACTTCTGGAGCCATATAGCACCTCGGCAACCTCAGTTCCTGACACCAGCTTAGTGAAGCCAGAACACATTTGGCTCCTGAGCAGGGAAGGTCACCTTGACAAGAAGCCCTCACTCACACAAGTGAGCATACCTGTCACCACACTGTCCTGCCCTGGTTCTCCTCATTTCTGTCTATGGCTTTTTCTTCTCAATCTTCATTACTGGTTCCTTCTATTAAATGTTGAGGTTCCCTAGCAATCAGTCCTCAGCCCTTGCTCCTCTCCCTCCCTGTACCTTTCTTCACGAAGATCTCCTCTATTCCCAAGAATATTTAACTCTATATGTTGCTAACTCCCAAATCTATAATTCAAGCTCACTATTTTAGACATCAAATGAATATCCCATGGACCTCCAAAACAAACTCAATGTCCAAACAGAACTCATTATTTTGCCTGAACTTGCCTCTCCTGAACCATCCTACTACCAATCAAGTGAAAGCATCCTTGAGTCATATTTAACTCTCCCCATTCCATTACCCTAGTCACCAACTCAGATATGTCTCTCCAGTCTGTGTTCCACACTGTCATGGCCCTATCCTAGACCTCTACATCACTCTCCTGGACAACTGTATCAGCCTCCTCCATGGTATCTCTGTCACCAATGTCTCCCTCATTCCAGGATGCCTACAGTGGCTGAACCATGGTAAGTTTTGTAAGTTCACACCACTGTTAACCATTTAGATCCTGAGTCAATCATGTGTCCCTCCCTTGCTTAAAAGCTATTTAATGGGGGGCCAGCAGGTGGCGTGGTGGATAAGGTACTGGATTCCCACATGGCTGACCATGGTTCAAGTCCCAGACCCAGCAGTTTGAAAATCATGCTGGCACATGTGTATGCATGCCCAAAATCCCAAGAGGAGAATGGATTGCAGGGTGGCCATCCTTCTTGGGAAATAATTTCTCACCTTCCCTCTCTCTCTTTTTTTTTTTTCTCTCTCTCCACTGAGTGCATGCACCCATAGCAAAAATCTAAAATAATAAAACAAAACAAAGAAAGCTGTCTAATGGAATATTACTACCCTTCAAACAAAATTCAATTTCCTAATGTATATGTAACACCTAAACCATCTTTTCCAGCCCAAATCTCTGCTTACTCTCTACTCCCACTGCAGCTTCATAAGTTTCTCATTAATCACCAAACATTAATCTCATTAATATATTTTCATGACCTAGTGCCTCTGCTTGAGGTGGTCTCTTCTGTATGGAATGCTTTTCCCTTTTCTCCACCTGGGAAACTCCTACCCACCCTTAAGACCAAGATCAAAAACTATCTCTGCTGGGTCTGTGAGGCAGACATGACCCCATCTTAAAGGAGCTTCAAACCAGGTAGGAAGGTGGATATATATTCTCCCCAACCTCCTAATAAGCCCATCCCTCTTCCCTATAATCTACCCATAGGCACCTCATACAGACTTGTCCCAACCCTTCAGATTCCCCTGTGTTCCACAGCTCTTGATCACAGGGTTTCAGGGGACAGTGTCCAAGGTGGGACCTGTGTCAATCTGTCTCGTATACCCCATGTCTGGGTCTGTGCCTTAAGACAGTGTGCTGGCCCCTTTCCCTGGGCAGACTTGCAAAGGGAGATCCACCTACCTCCACCCTCTCTCTGAGGCTTCAGAACAAACTGGCTAGGGGCAGCAAGGGCCTCAGCGATGGCCTGGTCCCCCTCTTGATCCTGGCAGGAAGCAGAAACAGTCATCAGTAATTTTAAGGATAAAGAGGTAATAGTTGAGGTGTAGTGCTGTTTGTGCATAGCAGCAACAGAGGAAGAGCAGGAAGGAGAACAGCCATAAGCTTCTTCAGGCTGGATGCTGTTATCTGGATGTGACCACCAATAAGCCCCTGTGGCAGCAAATGCAATGAGAACAGGCCTTTCTCTGGCAACATGGCTTTGCAGCAGGTGGCCTGAAAAGCAGATACAGAACTTCTCCAATTCTACCCTTCCCCTGGTTGCCAACCCATCTTCACCTGTGTTGAAGAAGCTTACAATGGATTCCAGTCCCTATCCTCCCTTATGCGGCTGAAGCTCTCCTCAGGGTTCTGGAGGCCCCAAGAACACCACTGACCAAGATGTAATGCAGTTCCAATCTTCTCAACACATTGGGCTCTGGGTCTCTAACACCTAGGAGGTATATGGTAGGAAGAATCGGCTGTGCACGCACCAGGTCCAGTGAGTAGAGGCCAGCAAAGGTGGCACGAAGGCGGGCCACAGCCTCAGGCTGGCCAGGAAGCAACACTTCCAGTACGCCCACCCTGCTTAGCTCCTGCTGCACCTTCTTAGTCCCAGCTAGCTGGGTGGCAATGTCCGGGCACTTGACAGCACATGACCTCTCCAGCAGCAGGCGTGCTTCCCAGTTCTGCAGAAAAAAGAAGATGGAAGTCATTCTCCTGTATTTCACTTCAGCTGACCTTTACCAAGCATTCATCAAATACCAGGTATCATGGTTTATATCTTCACATGAATTATCGCCTTTGCAACAGCTTTGTGAGACAGGCATGATGTCTCCCAATCTGCAAGATTCTTGCCTTCAGGGAGTTCACAGTCTAACACAATGATACATGACTATAATTAAAAGAGAAAATGACAAAAGGTGTGGCGGTATAGAAAAAAGGATGAGGAGGTTTGAGGGAATGGGACACTTGATGAACTTAGCTTACTATGATATTCCAATGAAAATCTAAACTCCTTACCACAGCCTACAAGACCCTGCAGGATCTGACTCCTGTCTTGCTTTTCAATTTCATTACATGACATGCTACCACCACCTCCGACCCCATATTCTAGTCACACTCGCACGACATTCCTTAAAAACACAAAACTCATGCCCTCTTTGGAGCCTTTGCATTTGCTGCTTTTCCCTCTGCCTGAAACTCTTCCTTTTGGCTTTTCTCATGGATGTTTTGGTCCTTCTCATTCTTTTTTATTTTTTAATTTGCTAAAGGACACATGTGCTCATCAGAGAGAGACAGAGAAAGAGAGAGAGAAAGTAGGAAATCACTCTCCCAGGTAGATGGCCATGCTTCAATCCCTTTATCTCTCAGGATCTTGGACATATACACACGAGTCTGGGGTATTTTTCAAGCTATCATGTCTGAATGCAAAGCAAACAGTTGGCCATGTGGGATCTAGCCACCTTAAGTTCCATGCCACTTGCTCACCTGGTCCTTCTCCTTAAGTCTCAGCTCAAAGTCATCTTTTCAGAGAAGTATTCACTGACCACCCTATTAAATGTGGGTTTTGGGGCCAGCAGGTGGGATGGTGGTTAAAGACACTGGACTCCCACATGGTTGACTGCAGTTCGAGACCCAGACCTGGCGACTTGTTTCCTTACTCTCACTCTCTCTCACTCTGTCCCTCTCTAGTCGAATAAATAAGTAAAGTTAAATAAAATAATTCTTTGGGGAAAAAAAGGGGGGGAGGGCCAGCAGATGGCTTGGTGGTTAAGGGTGCTGGACTCCCACATGGCCAACCATGGCTCTAGTCCCAGACCTGGAGGCTTGCTCTCTCTCTGTCTCACTCTATCCCTCTCTGGTCAAATTGAAATAAATAAATGAATGAATAAATAAAGTTAAATAATTTTTAAAATAAATAAATAAATGTGGGTTTCCCCATAATTGTCTATCTTTTCACTCTGCTGTTTCATTTAAAGTGGTTATCCTCTACTAGAAAAAACAACACTTTTTTCTTTCTGTTCTTTTTTTCTTTCTGATGTTCATCTTACTGACCAAACTGTGAGCTCCAAAAGTACATGACCCACATTTTATCCCCAGTGTCTAACACAGTATCTGGCACTTTATGGGTACTTAATAGAGATTTGTTATTATTGCTGAATGAGATGAAATTTGAGTGTGTACTCACAGGATGAATGGTCTAGTATGCTAGGAGTTTAGGGTGTGTCAGAGGCAGGAAAACATCAGAGGAACATGTCTCAAAGATCTGGTCCTTATTTTCAGTCACTGGGAAGATAATCTATCCTTGGCTCCAGACCACAGCAAACTGCCCATAGCAGAATCAGGCTATGACTGTAAGAACAACCTCTGTTCTCCACCCTCCCAATGCTATCCTTCCTTTGATTTAGTCAGTCCACCTGATCATTACCTGATCTTCATTAATAACCCCAGCCACCTAACTGCTAGTCCAGTGTTCCAGGCAGAGTCACAGTTGCCCAGAACATCAGAGAAACTCAGAAGTACTCTATTATGTTAGAAGAAGAAAAAGCAAAATCCAAAGATGAGCAGAGATTTGCCTAGGGCCACCTATCAAGTCACTGATGCCTTGCAGATCCATCTCCAAGTTCTAAACCTGGTCTGAGTTCTCAGTTCTCTAAAAATACCCACCTCCTCAGGGCCAGCAGGTGGTATAGTGGTTAAGGGTGCTGGACTCCCACAAGGCTAACAACAGTTCAAGTCTTAGATCTGGTGGCTTGCTTTTTCACTTTCATCTTCTCTTTCTCTCACTCTGTCCCTCTCTGGTCAAATTAAAATAAATAAAGTTAAATAAAATAATTCCTTAAAAAAAAAATCTACCTCCTTATACACCAATTTCCTTCCTCATTAGCTTAGCCTCTTCTAAGTTTCCTTTGCCCCTTCCCAGTTCCCCAGTCCTAAAACCTAGATTGATTTTCCCAAAGGACAGTTTCTAGCTTCTTCAGTGAGCAAATTACTATTCACAACTTCTTTAGGGGAAAGGACCTTTATACAACTGCCACTTCTATAGGAGCTGCCTCTATAGAGCTCAACTCTTGAGAGGAATACTAGATGAACTGCAGACCTGAAGAACTTCTTCAACTTTCTAGCTCCTTCAGTTAATAGAAACTGAGACCTGGAATGAATCAGAAACCTGCTCATGGTCACACAAAGGCAGACTCAAAGGCTTGTGATAGCCAGCCCACTGTCTACAGCATTTCCCAACGTATTTCCTTCTTTTTTTTCTCACAACTGAAAGCAAGGATTTTTTAGCTTCTTCATGGTGTGGATGTTAGAGGCAGAGAAGCATGGTATATGGGCAATACATCAGGCTAAGATTCAAAAAGCCTAGGAACTTTCTGTGGGATCTCAGACAAGCCTCCCTATCTCTCCAAGCCTTAGTCTCTCCATCTGTATAATGGGAATATTCACACACTCCTAGGGTAGCTATAAGGGTTAAATGAAATAACGGATGTAGAAGGTAATTTTGAAATTACATGGTAAGATAGCAAGATGTGGTGCAATCATTGTCATCATTAACATGAATGAACACATAAAAAAAAAACCTTCCGACTCAAATAAATAAAAAGTAAAAGTTGGCAGGAAGAAAATGGTCAGGAGCATGCTGGAAATGGCTAGCATGTTCAGAGATGTTAAGTTGGATAATTCAAAATTGGCTATAGTATTTACACTACAGAAATCAGCACATGCTGCAAGGGAGTTTTTTCCCCAGAAAGATAGTTGTTAAGCATTTACCAACATATCATTGGCAACAGTGTGACTGGTTATAGCACCATGGATTCCTGAGGATTCAGATTCTAGAAGTTAAGTGTGTCTGCATAGTGAGAGGTAGCAAAAAGCTTACAGAAGGATAGGAGCTTCCAGCAGTAGGTCCCCTGAGGAAGAACTGAAGCTAAGAGTCAGGGGAAAGCCAGGCTGTTATGATACCCAAGTTGGGTCTCTGTGGAATTGTGGTGGATTCCAGGAGGAAAAGAATGGTCTAACAGACAATACCAACCTTTACACTGTACTGACTTGGCATGTAGCCATCCCGGAAGTAAACCACAGCGACTTCCTGGCCATCCCTAGAACACAGAACAGAGAAAGCTGCTGTGTTAAATTATAAGTGATGTGTTCAGTGGTACAGTCTATTTCAGGATGCATCAAAATGAGTTAGGCTTTTCTGAAAGTCAGTCCACCAGAGAAACCTGGTCAGGGATTAACTGGAACCAGTGAAAGTTGACACCTACACTAAAAATATAGAGGTGTGCAATAAGAAATGCTATTGAATATTCCAGATTTAGAGACAGTCTAGGAAGGCCAACGGGAAACAAGAAGGTAGCCAGGATCAATCAGGTAAATTTAGCAAAATGCGGGCTCAAAAATACCAAGCAAAATAATTTTATCACTGAGACCAGCAGATGGCATAATGGTTATGTTGCTGGATTCCCACATGGTCAACCATGGTTTAAGTCCTGGACTCGACAGCTTGAAATTCACATTGGGTGCATGTGTGTGTGTGCCCAAAATCCCAAGAAGAGAATAGAGGAGAAGGGATAGTGGCATGTCCATCCCCCTGAGGGGTGATTTCTCACTTTCTGTCTGTCTCTCTATCTCTCTCTGTCTCTCTGGTTAGCACACATGCCCTATAGCAAACATCTCTTAATAATCAAAAAAAAAAAAAAGAATGATATTGTTAGGCTTAGCAAAACACACTAGTATTTCCATTGCTTAAAGTATTAGGTCATTGGAGAAGTCATGATTTTTTTTCTATGAGAAATGTCTCATGACTTTCCCAACAACCCAATAGCTTAAACTAGGCTAAGATTTTTCAGAATGGCAGAGGTGAGGGTGAGAAAGATGCAAAATTCAAGGTCTAGCAAAGAGGGATCAATCACGGAATGAGCCAATTGCTCTTTTTCTTTCTTGACTTGACCAGCTACCAAGAGGGGCAAGAAAATTTGGGGAACTCAGGGGCATATAAAAACCAAAGTTATCTTGGCCCAGCCAGTAGCATAGTGGTTAAGGCAGCTAGATCCCACATGGCTGACTCCATTGTTCAAGTCCTGGACTCAGTGACTTTGAAAAAACACACCAGGTACATACATGTGTGTGTGTGTGTGTGTGTGTGTGTGTGTGTGCATGTGTGTAGTCAAAATCCCAAGAGGAAAACAGAGGAGAAGGGACTAAAGAATGGCCATCCCCCAGGGGGAGTGCTTTATCACTTTCTCTCTCTCTTAATCTCTGTCTCTCTTTGAAGAGCACATGTGCCCTATAGCAAAACTGAAAAACAAGACCAAAAAAAAAAAAAAAAACCAATCAAGGTTATCTTTAAGGATGCCCTTATCCAGAATGTCAGCAGGTCTGATACAACCCTTTAGAAGCAAACCTTGACTTGCTTTCTCCATCATTTCCTGGGAGGATGAGGTATTTGAGAAATCAGAAGTAAAAGAAGTAAGCCATCAGGCGGCACCCGCCGCCGGACGACGGCCCCGGGGGCTCAC